GACCATAGACGGTCCAATTATTTTCAGATTTGTATCTATAGCTAAAATAGATATTTTTCAGCAAAATCATTCTTTTCGTGTGAATATTAAGCTATATATTAAAATATCACTATTATTACTATAACGCATAATTATCTTTACTGATACGATATAATTCCATGTGTTATCTCATGCTCTCATAATCGTATCTTCAATACGTGAATATACTGTACGCTACGATTTATTATTATAACTGCAGACAAGAACTACACTCCTAAGAACCTGCGTAAGCGAGTTCCTAAAGACATCCGTTCCTAAAGACGAACGCAAATACGGGACGTAACGACATAAGAACATTGCTCGATTTCGTACACGACAGCACGCGAGTTAACATACGCCGATGTGAACTGCGAACGAGCAAGATCCTGTACATAACTGGGGATAATTGCGTTACGAGTTTAACCGTTCTAACGAGAATAGCGCTAACGATTTCTCGTCGGAGTTTGCACGGTACTCCTCATTATGGGACGAACGCATTGTGTCCTTTTAACAGCGTGTTCCAGGTAAGTCCTATCCTCTCTTCTTCCCTCTCCCTCCCTCTTTTTTTCTCTTTCCTACTCATAAGATCCGCGTAAAAGCATGCAAAGCACTTCTGCCGCACAGAACAAAGTAAAATCAAGAAAGATGTCAGAATAGCGTTCCCGCGTTTTAATCCGCAAAGCGCCGCGGGCGCGGCCTCATTTTCTAGCGAACGTACGGATCAACAAAAGCAGCGTTTCAGGTATTTACGGAGGCGGATAAGAGAAAGAGAACGTGAAGAACGGCTGCATTTCATAGTCGTTTTGCAGAGTTTCGCGAGATAAACGCGTCGAGAATAATATTCGTCACCTTTACCACAGTGTCGCTTGCGATACTGCGGTAAATTCGTGTACGTTATCTTTCACTCGAACGATGTCGTGAATATAAAAGAAAGATCGGATAAGCAGTTTTAACTATAGGGATGTACCGGATAGTAAAATTATCGCATATCGGATATCCAGTGTCACACTCTTTTTGGATATCCAATATCCGGTCGGAGCAATTATCCGACCAGATATCCCTAAATTTTCCCCGGATATCCGGTAGAATATCTAAAATAAGGCTTCCAAAAAAAGCAAGGTAAACAAAGCGATAGTAATTTTCTTTATCTTCCCAACGTGAAAAGAAAAAGAAGATGAATTGTACGAGTTTAGCCGAGGGGGTAACCACTTAATCATGGGACAGAGTCCTCGAAATTATTATAAAATTTATATGAAATTTCTATATATATATAATCCATAATATACCACCACGAAAAATCATTGTTAGGGAAAAAAATTATTTATAATCAAATGAAATTATATAAAATCATGTAATCTGTGGGGCAATATTGACAATATTTCAGCTAGTAGTTATCCCTCGAATTTAGTTAAAAAAAATAAAATTCTGCATTAATGACGCAAGCTTTTAACATAAAACTTCAACCGAATATTAAATACCTCCCGTGTATCCGTTATATCTCCAGTTTTAACTTTTAAGTACGTAGATAATCTAAAGGTATGCAAGTTGGTAGATGAATGCTCGGAACACCTCAAAAAGATTTTATTATAATTTCGTAGTTGTACTTTTTACCAGTATGTTAAGTATAATTAAATTTCTACACATATTAGTTACACATTAGTTAAGATAGAGGAATAACAAAATATGAATATAATGAACTTTAAGACTTCTGAGTAATAGTTTTTATTTTTCTTTCTTGAAAGTTTTAAGAAAATTATATGATCTCTTTTCCGTAACTTTTAACAATAGTGTTAGTATCGTTATATTGTCATTGTACAACTTTTTAATCATATATGAAACTTGCGTAACGACAATAAAACGTTGATCGTCGAAAATTATAGAATAAAGATCAATGTGTACCTGAGATGTTGTGGCCATTCTACCTATTCATTTAAAAGTTAATATGAGTATATGACCAAATGTATGGCCTAATTGCCTAATATTTTCATTTTGTGTTAAAGTAAAAAGAGAGTATAATACAACTCTTATTTTTTCACAATTGTTTAGAGATCGCTTTATTTCTACATCTTTTTTTAGATATTTTTTTCGTGGATACCGAAAAATATCATAATAATGACATTATATTTAAGGAAAAATTGGTAGATTGAAATAAAATTAACAAAATCCTTTTTTACATTGTTGAAATGGCTATCAGTTGTGCTCAGTTAAGTCAACAATTCTGAATTAATTTTTAAATGATTAAAGCATAACTAATAGCAAATTTATAAAGATGTATAAGGATTTTATTCTTTATTTCATTGTATATATCGATTTTTTCTTGAGTATAGCGTTACTATAATAATTTTTAGTTTCCATTGCATGAAAGAAATATCTAAGAAAATGTAGAAATAAAATGAACCCTGAACGATTGCAAAAAAAAATTGTACCCTCCTTCGCATAGAGATCATTTGGGATATATAAAATATGTTTAATTTAGTACAAAAGAGAGTAGAAATTTCCGAGAGTTTTATGACCGCTCGGGGATTATTTTATTTCTATGCTTTCTTATGTATTTTTCTTCGTAAACTCGAAAATAATACAATATAATCACACCAGACTTAAGGAAAAATTGGTACTTGAAACAAAATGAATAAAATCTTTATATTCGCAATCGTTATAAAAGTGATGCGCGACGTTTGGAATGAAGAAAACGGAAGAAACCGAAATGACAAATGTTATAATGAAAAATATAAACTAATTAACGTTTTATGGTGCAATATTAGTCGCTTTGATCCAATTTGGAATTAATTTCAAGAATAAATTATTGAAGCATAACTGACAGTTTTAACGATGCAAATAAGAATTTTATTCACTTTATTTTAATGTACCAATTTTTCCTCAAATCTGGCATTATTATAATTATTATTTTTGGATTTTATGAAGAATACATAAGAAAACATAGAAATAAAACGATTCCCGAGCGGTCACGAAATCCTCGAAAATTTCTATCCTCCTTTTCCAACTGTTAATATCATCTGGAATTTCTAATAAAATTCTCATGGCAATGTTTCTTAATAGTATCTCCAAATCATTATGTGCAATCAAAAGTATTTACAACTTTCATAATTAATAAGACAAGAATTATTAAATATGATGATATACAGTAAAAAATAAAATTGGAAAATAAAGTAATAATGTAAAATGTGTGAATGAGATGAAAAGGATATTTGATTTTGCGTAAAATTCATTAAGAAAGATACATGACTTAGTACTCAGTCTAGTATCGATTCAATTATAACAACAAGAAAGAATTGATACAGAAAGAAAACAAAAAATTCTAAAATATGTTAACGCTAATTTTAAATTATCTTATTTTAGAATATTTTATTATTTTTTAAATATTTTATTAAGCGTGTTATATTCAAATATAAATTGAAATATTTTATTATAAAACTCTGTTTGAAATTCTCCTATTTTAATATGAAACAATTTGTTATAAATTGATTTTCCCTTTTTGAATTAACAACTGCTTGCTAAAGACATTTTCCTAATAATTCCATGAATAATGTTACTCGCAATTGCATAAGTTTCAATCCTGGAATGACTAATTAGAGTTCGTCAATGTAATATGCTTATGATAATCCTCTTTTCTAAATTGTCAATGTTTCTGTACAAAGTCATAAAGTCGCCAACACCGTTATTCTATTATATTTCAAAATAAAAATAATGAATTTGCTCAGTCGGACATTTAAAAAAGATTGCATTAATTACTCTCGGGAAAATTTGCAAATTCGCGTAAAATGATCGCAAACTTTTCATGAAAAGCAAAAAGCGATCATGTCGTTATAACTTTTCCTCGTTCAGTGTGATATCAACGTTCGTTATCAACATCGATAAACCCGCGAATTTTGGCGTACGTCCAAATTTGCGACAAATTTGCAAAATTTCGATGGTAAATTAAAAGAATGCAGCCGCCTGTGAATAGCTATCGCGAAAAATTGCGCGGAGGGAATCTCTGCACGAACATGGATTGCATCAGGTAAATTTCGGGACGAGCCCGATCGCGCAGGTACAGCGTACACGGTCATGCGATCCCTCTCAATTTAATATAACTGCTTTATAGGAACATTCGAAACGTATGACTTCATATACCGGGGATACGCGCGAGCAATTACAATCGCAATCGCTGCGCCGGTGCCGCCGCAAATTATTTTCGCTCCGGCGCATGAATCACACCGGTAACGTCCCGGTGCGATGTGCGCAATCATGTCAAAATAAAATTTCCCGTTGCTGCTGCGTGATACACTGCGCGGACTAATTAGCGATAACCATAATACACCGAGTCGGTTTGTAACAGTGCCTGTTTTTGTTCCGAATTAACAAAGTTAACGTCGAGATAGTTGGACAGTCGTATGAAAAAATATAAATAAATAAAAACGGTGATTATCGACCAGTATTACCAGTTTGCTGGCTTCAAATTTTCAATAACGATATTGAATCGCGATGCGGAATGAACGATGAGCAATGCTTTTAAAAACTGCTGCTGCTGTCACGCAAGATTATTAGGACGTTGCCATTACCAAGCAATTTTTAATTTAAAAAGAGAAAATTATTTATAATAAAGCACTAAAATATAGAAATAGCGAGAGGATTGTAATGGAATATCTCATAAATCATACATGCACCTAACGCTCAGTGATATTAAAATATGAAGGAGATAAAATTTAATTAAAGAGAATGGGTCATGTACATGGATGCATATTTACGTATTAAATATATTCTTTATGACATTTTAAGTCTGATTTACATTAATAGAGATAGAAATATAATTTCTTTAACTAGGATTCATAAATCTCACACGTGTAATATACTTTTGAGAAAAACAGATATCTCTCATTAAAAATCCATATCAAATTATGCTGAAAAATTCAAATTTGATGGAGAGACTCGCAAGGTACCAAATTGTATGATAAAAGAACAATATAAAATATCGATTCACTTACCAAGATATTGCGCAATAAATCACATCTATAATATCCAAGAACCTCGTATCTATCTGTAAAAGAAACACAAATATTTGAAAAAATTCCTTTATTATGCGAAACAAACTCAAGTAGTTTTGAAATTAATTAAAAATTGTAACAATGATTACATTCGCTTCAAACTTATTCCGTTAATTAGCACAAAACTAAAAAAATTGTACTTTTTACGTAAATCTGATTTTTATTATAATTTTCTATTAATTTTATTACTATTTTTTATTATATTATTATTATATTTATTATATTATTATTATTTTTATTACTTCCTTATTTTAAAAATAATGCAACTAAAAAATATGATTTTTGAGTTATATTACCATGAATAAGTTAAGTAAATATCGCCGATCTTGGAACTAACTTAATTTTATAAGTTAACTTAATTTTATAAAAAGTTGTCAAAATTGTTACAGTTTTCATCAAAATCATAGTTTTTAAAGATTATTAACGAATTATGAAACAAAAATGACATGTAATTATATTAAGAAATATATTCTTTTTACCAATATTATCTGATTCATTCAATTAATTTTTTATCAAGTTAAAAAATAGTTTTTCTCTTTTTCTGGAAAATTGAATTTTTTGCGTTGTCACTTTTGAAACGAGGGAGTGATACTTTCAAAAGAAAACTAGCAAGAGAAAGGATTCCAAATTGTTCTCTCTAATTTTCAATCGAAGACCAAATATGATATGATTGATACATTTAAATCCAATGAAGAAACTAAAGAAAAAATCAAATTCTACAACATTTGCAAAGCAGCTTTCTTAACTTTCTTTGCTGAACCAATGAAAAACCAGGCTTAGAGTTACCACTGTTAAAATTATTAGTTTAATGATTAATCACAGCTGAAAGGAACACCATTTTGAATTTTTACGTTATTATCAAGTTAAGTAAGAGGAAGTTCACACAAGTTAATTATAAGTTTAAACAAATGAACCAGACAACAAAAACTGGGCCAGAGTCTACGTTGTCTAGAAATTAGGATGTACCCATTCCTTAATGGTTCACTCCAGTATATTACAGAGCTAACTTTAAGCACCAGATAAAAAAAGGGAATATTGTATACACGGGAATGCATCATCGCATGAAATAATAAATATTCGCTAATAAATCAAAGTGATAATTAAAATCGTGCATCGATCAGAATAAATAATGATAAAGCATAAAAAATACTCATCAGTCGATGCCTCCTGATTAACCTGTTTCTTCGCTACAGATAAAAATCACTCACAATGCTCACACTATCGAAATTGATCCGAAAAACATGACTAATTACCGCGCGCGTTAATTAGTCGTCTCTCGCCATGGCACTCCTGATGCTTTATCTACGATGCACTTCGAGAGTGTATAAATAATGCGAGATACACGATACCTTCGTGATACCTTCACTATTCGCTACTCCAAATTCGGCACTCCAGATACGGCATGCTCGTTCCACGTTGCAACGCATTTTGTGTAAAATTCAAACGTGCACTAAACAAAATAGTTACCGATGTTCGTATCGTGGCAGTTATTATGCAAAATTGTTACTTTGCTACGCTCGTCACTTTTAATCATCGACACTCGATCGGAATGCTCTTTCCATAATCAACTCGAAACGAATACTCTGAAACGAGTAGGATTTTCGTGGCTTTTGATCGCGCGGGAAAATAGCCTATCCGACACGACGCAACAATCACGCAGCGAACACGATCATTCGACTATCCTAAAAACTAAAAACCCAACGTGTGCAACAACTATCGACATTCTCAATTCTCGACAACTATCGATACTCGTTCGAGAGAAGCGAATTATCGATCTTGACAAACTTCGAGAAAAGAGCGTGAAAATGCGAGACGCGCAATTCTGTTTTTTATTCGAAGACGTCGAATGGCTGCGGTTTGTGGACTAACAATCGGTGAATCCGGATTTGATCCCATTCATGCCTCACATAATGGCAGGTGATTTGTTGCCATTACTTTCGAACCTAAGATCCAGCAGTTACTTAATGTAATAAAGCTTAAAAATCCACGATGTTTCCCTGACACCAGGAGCTTTTAATATTATCTAGAGTCGTGACACACGAGACGATTTGAGCCGACTTTTGTATGTAGTAGTTTTAACAAAATCAATAACAGAGAGAAATATATTAGTATCTCTGTCTAATCTTAACGCGCGTTTTCACTCAAAACGGAAGAATCTGACAAAAAACGCGGCGATCGGCCTTGTAAATCGAGATAAATAGAAATCTGAAAATAATTTTGTTGGGTTATCAAAATAATTACGTATAAGGAATTTCAAGCATGACGAACAATATTGCGAAAAGTTTTGACATTCTATCAATTTCAACGTCTTACATTATTTTGATGATCCAACAAATTTTTAGATTATTATTTTCAGATTTGTATCTTGCTAAATTTTTAAGTACTTGAGCAAATAAAACAGTATTCCTTCCGTATAAACTTTAACCTCGCAAACACTAGAGTAGTAAGCTTTAAGAAATTGATCAATTTTAAGTCAAATGTGAGAAGAATAATCAATTATAAATGGTCAATTTCTTAAGACTTAGTATTCTATTGTGTTTGTGGAGTTAGATCTCATCTACAATAATCGCACCACAGTCTGTGTCGCAGATCGCAACTTGTTGCGACAGCTAATCTGTGCGTCTAATATTAAAAACGCTTTAGATTGATTGCCACAACAAGCTTGCAATCTGCGACGTACTTTGTACGACTATTGTAGATGAGATTTAAGCCTTAGGCTAGTATTACATGTCAACAAAGCCAAGGACAAAGCACTTCAAGCCTATTCGGTTTGATTGACTGATTGGTGATTCAAGCCTATTTGGCTTGATTGATTGATTATTTGATTGATTGATTTACTGCAAAAAAGAGAGTTGTTGGATCTCTTTATCCAATCAATAAACCTAAAATCTTTATCATATGACAAATGTAATAATACTCTTAAGCCATAATTCTCTCATGCGGTCGAATATAAGAGGAAAATAATCGACTATGATTCGTCAATTTCTTACAGTTTTGATTTAAAGTTTTACGCCTTAAAATCTCACTGTAAACGCTGTAAAGTCCCGAAACATAATAAATATAGTAAACTTTATAATCGTAAGATAGATAAGATATTGACCAATCACAATCGAATATTAGAAGAATAATCAACTATGATTATACTATGATTGTAACTGTCTTTACACGCTTACCGACAATTGTCGGTAGGCGTATAAAAACGTTTACAGAATAGCACCCTTGGGCATTATCATGGAACAAAATCGGAATGGATTCCGATGGGAATTATTCAATTATTTTCTAGATTTCTATTGTGTTTTCTGCGGAAAACGGAATATTTCCGATCGGAATTCCGACTTCCACGATAGGTGCCCTTGGTCTTCTTACATTATGGTTTCATGTTATTACTCGCCACGAAAATGTCGAAATCGTGTAAAATAACGGGCGATTATATATACGGTGACCATATATTCTTTATTGGATTTATTTATAAAGGATAATTCTTTAAATATATTAGGTAGCTGTTCTTTAGGTTTATTAATTTTTTTAACTCAATTTTATCCTTTATTTTAATAATATTATGGAAAATTTCTTTCTATAATTAATATCGCAATGTCTAATGTCATATTAATGAGCGAATATTTACGAAAACGTCGATAAATTTAATTTTATGCAAAGGTAATATTAGCCAAAACAGAATTACGAAATCACAAAATGTCAAAATGAGTGATTGATTGAGTTGTGACTTTTAATGTGACTTTTAATAATCAAATTTATAAATCAGCTATTTTGACATCATTTTGATGTCTTGATAATTTATATTTTACTTGGGAATTATCTCAAATATACTGTGCGAGAAAATTTCAGAAATTAATATACAAACTTCTAGCAGTCACAAACTTGGAAATATTTTGGAATAAAGTCCTAAAATTTTCAGATTTGTCTTTATTTTGTCTAAGAAAATATGGTCACCATAGCGTTTGTCAGTTTGTGCAAACATAATTAACCGTAATTTTTCGATTGACGTATTATGTCTGCGAGTTAAAACAATGAATTCGTTAACGAAATCTATGCCAACGTTCAATGTTTTGATCTGTAAGTAAATCAATACATCATCACATTCGCCCAACTGATTGTATTCACAATTATATGTACATGATCGCATGATTCACAATTATGAATAAAATGAAATGAATAATTATGCGACATAAATTATAAACGCGGGAATATCGAGTTAATCTCAATACTTTATTTTATTCCATTTGCGCACAAAGCATAACGCTTTAACATTTTATTGCCGCAAAAGAGATTTGTGCATAATGATGATTATCATTATAGAATATTTTTCATACGTATGATATAAACTTTTTAAACGATTTACGATGATTTTATGAAATGAATTAAATTTTTTAATTTTGTTACATGTATAACATTTAAATGATTACAATAAGTTTACAAAATAAATTAAAATTTTTAATTTCATTTTATGTAGTATATATATATATATATGCATCTATATAATTTACATATGTATTTCTAACAAAATTAAAAATTTTAATTTATTTCGTATGTTTATTTTACTTGATATATAGCCATATGCTATCAGTCGCAATTTGCCGTCGCTAATTAATAACAGAAGAGCTATGTGTTTGCCGTTTGCTTTATCCGCGTAATTGCCACAGTGACTGTTGCTTGTTACAATTTCGACACGATGGTGACGATCATTTTTCTCTTTTCCTATCCTTCTATTAAACAGCCAGACGTGAAGCTCGAGTGTGCAACGTACAGTCTGCTTGGAATCTTTTCATTAATTGAATCAAAATCTTTTTGTCGTGTGTGCTTAGAAATCAATTAGACACAGTCAATTCGCTGAAAATAACTGAAAAACAATTATATCCGTTTAAAAACTCATGTTTGATAGTGAAATTAATAGCCTTTATCCTATGACAGTATAATTCGCTAACATATATATTTTTTGCCATTTTTTTAAATTCCAAAAAAAAGTTATTTTACAAAAGCGAGAGAGGATACAGTATTCCGATAAACTCTGCTTCTATAGGTTTGTTTTCTTTTACCATGTATTACAATTTTCCTGCCCTGTGGAAAAGAATAAAGTGGGATATGTAAGTCGCGCAAAGAGCCGTGGCTTCAAAGTGGTTTTTATAGAAATAAAAACTTGCCTTATATTTTTTACGAAAATACATTGTTTTTTAATTGATTAGAAACATTTATATATTTTAGTCCATTTCTATAATTTATTAATGACCGTTTCCATTAATGGTACTTTATTAATCTCATTTAATCTCATTTCAATTTACTCTTCATTTTTTTTCAATTCACAAGGCTTGGTTTCACCAATGTAAGATTAACTTTAATCTCTTTTTTTACTGTTTATTTTTATTTAGTTCTTAAAATCAGAAAAAGATGAAGACTAAGTTCCCTGATAAAAATAAAAATTGGAGCGTTAAGTCGAATGTAACGGGAGAGCAATAGAAGCGTAAACGAAGCCTCTAGAAAGCGAAAATTGAAACAATGGAATGTAAAGAAGCATAAACGCTTCTTTCTGTTGTTTTAATTTTTGTCTCCTAGAGGCTTTCATTTACTCTTCTATTACTCTCTCATTACATACAACTTACGCTACGATTTTTATTTTCATCAGGGTTGAATCGAAATTAATCTACGGTGATGGAGATGGGCATGAATATATAAAATATTTAAATATCCAAATGTTTAAATCTTAACAAAAGATATAATTACAACCTAGAGAAAAGAATAAATTAATAATTTAAAAAAACAATTTAGATTCTATATTTTTAACAACTAAAAATGAGGAAATTATGATTACTAGGAACCGACGTTGTAATTAATAACTATGTATTAATACAAAAATCTATATATATTTTAATGATGTTTAAAAACTCATGTTTGATATTTAGCCATATAATAAAAATCAATTTTGTTATATAATAAAATACATTTCGGCTATTTTCTAGCCTTCATCGGCACAGTAAAAAAATAGAAATAAATTATCGCTGTTAATTAACTCATTAAGTTACAATGCTATTCGTCCTCCTCCTACAGTTAAACTATCCACTTTAAACGAGATGGGGAGTCTTTATCCCATAATGACGTAGCGCACTAATTACACCACTAATCCTCAATAGCCCTAATTTCCTCATTTTGAAAAGAATTGTTTAAAGAATATCCAGATTTGAAAATAATATAATAATAATAATAAGATTCTATTTTTATGAGCATATTCAATTTTAATAATAACGTGCGTTCAGTACATATAGAAAAATATCTATTGCTAAAAAAAGATAGTTACTCAATTTATTTTCCTTTTTTTAAAGCAACGTTTAACAAAGAATATTTTCTTGATAATCTTAAATATATTTATCACAAATTTCAGAAAAAATCATTATTACATACTCAAAACAAAAATTTA